CCCCCATTCCTTTCCCCGCACAGCCTCCACTTCTCCCCATTTAGCCTCCCTCAGCTCTTCCCCGCCTCCCGGTTCACTCATCCCAGCTGCCCTCAACCCATCCCCACAGAAGCCTCTTTTCCCTCTGAACCTTCCACTCGCTCTCCCCTGGGGTGGCCATCGTAGAGGGCAGTCCAGTTGTCCTCTACTGATACAAAACCGAACACCTTTATGTCTGCTATTTTTCTCCTGACGAGAAAACTAGAGGACATACAGGCGTTGGGTTTCGTATCAACAGAGGACAGAGTAGCAGAAAACCAGAATGTCCTCTATGATTGGCTACCCTACTCTCACCTGAGCCTGCCTGACTCAGGGCTTCCACCTTCCCCTCTTCCTAAATTCACCACCCTGCCTTTCCCACCTGCCTGCCCCCTGCTTTGAACTCCTTGTCTTCCTAGCTGATCATCTTCAGGGTCCTGTTGCGGGGAAGGTGGAGACCTGTTGCTACCTTTACAAACTCCAGTGTGTGGACTCCCACATGCTGTCTCTCTGTTTTATGCGTTACACCTTTTTGCTGCTGTTCTTATTGCTACTCGTCACATTCTCCCTTAAAGGCAGGATCCTCTTCAGTAACACAAACATTTGTCTTACCGTGTTTTTGATCAGTCACTTTTTACCCCTCACAATTTCATTCATTCTGCATCTCCCCTACCAGTATTATGTCTTGGTGTCACTTTTTTCCAGTTTCCTTAACTTACTTGATTGTGAGATGTTAGGATTGTTTCTTTTTTTCCACTAGCAAAGTCTCTGCTAGGCTCCTGCCTTCAGCTTCACAGCCCCCTCTTCAAAGAGGGCAGCAGCAGTCAACATAGGGCATGTTGGAATTACCTGGCTCAGGTTAAGTGGCCTACTTTGAGCTGCCTAAACATGACTTGAGCTCTGCTGTGTGCCTGAGCAGCAGCAGACAGGGCATGAAGGGAAGGGAAGGGAAGGGAAGGGAGGGGTGACAGGTCAGGGGAGGGTTAAAGTGCCCCAGTGCTGAGGCTAGGGCAATGATGGGGCTTTCCCAGATCCAGGGCTGTGCTGTGGCATGCTATGTTTAAGGTGATTTAAGCCCTGTGAATACCTATGCGACTGAATGTATCTATCACCTTAGCGTATCCCTACCTTATTCTCACCCTTCATGCACACACTCCTACACTAGTGTCCTCCAGACATCTATGGCTTCTAACATTCCTTAACCTAGTACAATGAATGTTGAGAGAGCGGGCAGATCCAATAGGCATCTTTTAAGGGCCCCACCTACCAGTATATTTTTTAACATTCAAGGAAAGAGACAAAGGCCAGATTGTCATAAATAGCCACTGATTTCAGGTGTTTCTCTTTCAGTATCCCATCCAAAATGCTCCAGTACTTCTTTTCAGAACTTGGTAGCACTTGCAGCTCCACTTAAAAATGCACACACAAAGAAAACTGTAGTCACTTCCCACACTTACCAAGTTGCAGCACATAGCCGGGATTAACAACTTCAGCTGTTTCACCTCCCTCTCTACATACACATACTACACTACTACAGATTGGGGAGTAATGGCATCTGAATCTATAGGCAAAAATAGAACTGGAAGCTTACTTATTTAGTAAGTTTTTGTTTTGCCACACAAGACAACATTTTAAATTAATTCACTATAAGATAGGGATGACCTGTCCAGGCTCAAAACCATATATCATAAATTCAGAAGCTTCACCTTTCAATAATCAGTGTTTCCAGCTCAGAAACTACTCTTTCATGTTGTGGCTAGGCTGCCTCAACATGTACCTGTACCTCAACATGTACCTGTACCTGGCTACATCTACCTCTTCTCTCTTGCCTTGAAGGTAGACAGTAAATCTTTCTGAGGCAGAGACAGTCTTGTTCCATGTTTGTACAGCACCTAGCACAACAATCCTGGGCTATGACTAGGGCTCCCAAATGCTACAACACTAACAACAAACTCTAACTGAAAAGCCTGGACTCCCAGCTCAAATCCTGCTTCCTTTGCATTCTGCACAGGAGTTGTAACAACCCCACCAAAAATCTTCCAGTGGCAGGAAAATGTATTGCAGCACCCAAGAAGCCTTCAGTAGCTAACAGATTACCATCTTCGCCCTGCAGATAACTTCTTTGTCTTTCAGCTCTTTAAAGAAGAACTGCCCCAGTTTTGAGGACTTCACTTTGGGAGCCATCTTCTGCAAGCCAGTAATAAATCATCATCAACATCACCATCAGCATTGACAAATGATAATTTTCTAGCACAAAATATATTGCAGCCAACCCAAAAGGCACCCAAAATCATGATCGGATTCAATTAAATATAGGTAAATAGATTGTTTTGGTGCTTCAAAAAAGCTAATTTCATAAAGCTGAGAAAAAGCATTAGTCAAATTAATCAAGGGGGAGGGGGGAAATATAGACTACAGTTTTAATACAAGCTACACATTCTTTAAGAAGAGAATATCAGACAGCCAAAAAGCCTCACTTACACAATGAAAAAAGGTGGCAACGTTTGCTAAAATACCACCTTGGTTCAGTGGTAAAATAACCCACAGTTTTAGAAATAAAATACCAAATCAATGAGAAGGAGGAAATAGATAACAACTAACATGAGTTAGAATTATGAAGTGCAGAAATTTGAAAATTGATTACGGAAGCTAATACCAATAAGAGAAAGGAGGATTTTTTTGAAATATATATGTAAGGAATAAACCATATCCTAGCAATGGATGCAGACCCATTACTAGAGGGGGATGATAACATGTTGACTTATGATACCAAACATTAAATAAAATTGTTGTATGTGGAAAAAACCTATGGTGATGAGGGTATCATATGAAGATCATGGAATACTTTGTAGTCCAGTAATTTGACTGGTTTGAGGAAGTTAAAAATTAGGAAGAAATTGATCAAACAGTGCCATTAATGAGCTTTCCTAATGCTATACACCTGTCTTCTTTAGTCTTCTAAATAATAGAGACAGATTGCTTAACTCATCTCTGTTTTAGTTTTACCATCCTTCATCACCTACTGTACAGAGAGATAGGTTAAGTATTTCAGTCTTAGGGCAGCTCTCATTTATGTAATACTTCCTACGACCCTTAAGGAAGCACAGAAATGGAGACCATCTGCAGTACAATATGCTGTATGTATAGATTCATAGATTTTAAGACCAGAAAGGGCCATTGGATTATTTAGTTTGATCCTCTGTATAAATGGCCACAGAATGTCACCCAGTTACTCATATAATAACACTCTTAACTTGTGTTTGTCTAAAGATTCACTTCCAGAAAGGCATCTAGCCTTGATGAGAATATCAAGAGATGTAGAATCAATTGCTTCCCTTGGTGGTTTGTGCTAGTAGTTCACCACTATGATTGTTGACAAAATGCGTTTATTTTTTATTTTGAAATAATTTTAACTTCCAGCCACTTCTTTTTATTATGCTTTTCTCCACTACAGTAACCTGCACCTCTCTCACCCTGAAAGAATTCTTAACAATCAGCAAGAGAAGCAGGCCTGACTTAAAGCTCAGTGACAATCCCATATGCCAGGGAAGTTATACACATAGCATGTATTTTTACAGACTTATTGCCATCCATCTTAAGACATATTTACCTGC